TGAAGCAGTGCAGTATTAGATTATGGAACTGACTTGCTCAATTAATAGCACCTTCTTAGGAGCATGACTATTTGAACGCCTCTTCTGAGTACACATATCTTTCAGAAATTTGGCGTAAGCTGGAATTTGCTAAATTGCATCAAGCAATGGGAGATTAATCTTCACCTGTTTGAACATCTCCATTATGTCATGAAGTTTGCTTGCTTGCTTTGTTACTTTTGATGTTTCTTGTAGTCTCTGAAGGAATGGCACAACTACATGCCTCTGCTCAAGAGATGGCTCAGTAGTTGGAGGTACTTCTTGTGCTTTTTCATTACGCTCCTTTTTCTCTTCAAGTCTTTTCTTCCAATTTTCATCCTTCTTTGCTTCCTCTTCTTCCACTTTATTTTCAACTCTCTTACCACTTCTCAGAGTAGTAATTGCTTGTACTTGTTCATGGTGCACTTCTTGGCCAGTAATGTCATCAATTATACACACACCTCTTGGATTAACTACCAGTTGCCTAGAAAGTTTGCCATCCTCTCTTCTGTTCAAGGCTTGAGATAGTTGGCCAACTTGAGTCTCTAAGTTAGCAAGGGATTGAGAATGAGATTGCACAAGTTGATTAGTAGGCTCTAACTGCTTTGCCATCATTGCCTCTAGCATTGATAAAAATTGTTGAGGTTGATTGAAAGCATTCATAGGAGTAAACCCTTAAGGATTTGAAGTCTGAACTGGAGATTGAAAATTGCCTTGCATCTGAGGTACTTGAGGTGAAGGAGCTGATGTCCCCGTGGCTGGATTTCTCCATGAGAAGTTTGGATGGTTTCTCCTAGTTAGATTGTAAGTGTTTGAATACATATTATTCCCTCCGAGCCTTCCATAGGTAGCATTAACTTGATCTTATGGAATTTCTGAATACTAAGATGCACTTGGATAAATGGACACATGGTGAGTTGGACTGGAACAGAAAGAGCATACTTCAAAGCCTTGAGCATTAATCGCAGGAGGAGTAAAATTTGACTGTGAAGTCATCAATTGATCTACCTTCTTGGTTAATGCCTCCATTTGGCTCATTAGCCCTTGATTTATTCCTGCTTCATCCACACTATCTGCTTTCCTCATTATAGTAGGAGGTTTTGTTACTGGAGGTAAAACATGTTATGTAGAATTATCAGATATATTTTCGAAAAGCTGTCATGCTTCCTCTACACTCTTCAACATAAAATTTCCTCCACAAGAAGCATCCACCATATACCTTTGTGCCTCATTAAGCCCCTTATGGAAGAAATTGACAAACTGTCATTTTGGCATATCATGATGAGGACACTTCTAAAGGAGGTCTCTGAATCTTTCCTAAGCCTTATGAAAAGGCTTGTCAGGCCCTTGAGCAAAACGAGTAATAGCATCTCGATATTGAGTAGTTCTCACCATGGGGAAGTACTTGTTCAAAAACTTCTGTTGCAATTTAGCCCATTTAGTGATGGAGTCTGCTGGCAATGAATTAAACCAGTCCTTTGCCTTGTCCTTCAATGAAAAGGAGAAAAGGTGTAGCTTGAGCACATCATCGTCAAAGTTCTGGATCTTTATTGTTCTGCACACTTCTGCAAAGTCATCCAAGTGCCGATATGGATCCTCTTTTGATAGGCCGTAAAAAGAAGGCAGTAACTGAAGAGTACTGGCCTTAATTTCGTAATGAGGGGTCCTCACTTAAGGATATCGAACTACAGATGAAAAGTTGTATGCACCTGGTTTGTAGTGATCTTTTAAACAGCGAACTGCTTCTGCAACTGGTAGATCATCCGCCATCTTTTCCTTTTTAAGGTCTCCAAAATCTTTCTTCAAGTTTTTGAGAGTCCTTTCGATTTCTGGGTCTAACGGAAGCTGAGGGAGTGACAAAGAACGTCTTCCAAGCATATATTGTCACCTGTAATAATTAAAAGAAAACAGTATCAAAATAAATAAATAAATAAATAAAATTAAAGTAAATAAAATTAAAATCCTAAACTAAGATCCTAGTTGAAATTAATTGTAGAATTTAATATTATCTGTCAAGAACTAAAACAAGTCCCTGGCAACGGCACCAAAAAACTTGTTGTGAGATTTATATGTACCACTTGCAAGTACACGAATCTTTGTAGATAGGGTTTACTTGTAAGGGTGTCGTACCTGTAATGTTTTCAATTTTCAGCATTTTTCATTTTTCTAGAAATTTTGTCGCCGTGAGGGCATTTTCGTCTTTTACCGTTTTGCGTATCGGACACTACAGGGTGTGCCGGTTGTGTCCTAGAGTTGCTTTGGACATTTTATTGAGTCCAGGACTCTTTCAAATGTAAGGGTGACCATTTTTGCATTTTTCAGTTTTTCAGGTCAGACGGTCCCGTGTGGGACCCGCTGTCAGTATTGTAGCATCCGGGGATTTTAGTTGGGTTCAATTGCGTCATATTTAATTTATTTAATGTGTTGCACATGGTTTTGATTTAATGTGTATGCATATATGTGTATGTTGTGTAAATTAAAAAGGAAAAGAAAAAGGAAAATAAAAAGAATTTGGTGGGACCCACCTTACCCCATTTAAGTGGTCTAGAGATCACTGTGGATCTCATTTTCTCCCTCTATCCAGCATGCACTCTATTCCCCTCATTTTCTTTTCTTTTCTTTTTCCTTTTTACTTCAAATCTTTGAAGTTAGATCTCTCTCTCATTCTTTGGAGTTTTTAGAAGCCGTTCGCGGCAAATTGAAGCCGACGACAAGGTCTTTAAGTTGATCGGAGCAATTTGGTGTTTGGTGCACTCCTTGATTTTCAAAATTAGGGCATCAAAGTGGGGGTTTTTGCTTGGTTTGAGGTAGGGGTTCCTAATTTGCAAACTCTTGTTCTTTTGTGAGTCAACTCTTATCATTTGATGCCAACATGTTTAATTGAAGTTAATTACCTCTTAAAAGATTTCAATTGTGTTTTGGAAGCATGTTATTATGTGTGGTTGTTGATTTACATGGAAAGCATGCTTAATTGTAGATTTCTTATACCAAGTGTATTTGCTTAATTATTAGAGATTGCTACGAGAAAGCATGTGAATTTTGTAGCATTAATTTTTTCCCCATATTCATCTTGTTCAAAAAGGGCATGTATTATGCATTCATATCATGGGCATGAAAAAGGGATGAAATATTTGAAATGAATGAAAAGTGGACTTTTGGGGAAAAATGTTTAAGTAATGGGTTTTATGAAAACCCGGACGCCAAGGGGATATCGAGGGCTCGTGGCGTTAGTATAGCCTAGAGGAAATTAGGGAAATTACCCTAGCGCGGTTGAGTCAACTGGGCCCCAAATGACGCCAAGGGGCTACCGAGGGTTAGAGACAATGGTCAATCCTTCTCTCGTGTCACCAAGGGGGTATCGAGGGACAGGCTATATTAACGGTTTGAAATGTGACATGTGGAAGTGATTTTGAAGCATGGGGAGCGACATGCATAGCATCACATTTCATGGCATGGCATTGTATACATTTTGAGTTGGGATTAAATGTTATATTCTATCCGGTTAAGTATGACCCCTAATTCTTATTTCTATTTATTAATTAGGTTCATGGGGCTACAAGAGGTGCGCTTAGGTGCCACCTACTGAGCTTTATGCTCACCCTATCATTTAACATTTTTCAGGAACCGGAAAAGAAGTAGTGGATGCCGATCATCCATAAGCATGAGGATGACTAGGAGCTTATTTTGTGTCTTTTGTATATTTCCCATTTTTGTAAAGTCTCAAATTGTTGTAAAGTATAATTATTTTTGTTAATCATGGGCATGTGTTTGGACTATAACACTTGATTTCAAATGATGTAAATTCGAGACTATGTGAATGTTGTTGATGATGAACGGGAAAAAAAGTCATGGTTGATCTATTGTTGTCACCCTCCTATTTTATAAATTCATATTGCTACCTTGAATCTAGAAATGGGTTGCAACAGGTTTGGTGTAGGATGAAAGTATTATAGCACAGTCAGGAAACCCATTCCAGTGAGCTTTAGGACTCAAAAGCCATGTTTCGGCTGGCTGATCCTCTCCATCAGTTGACCGAAACTCCATGTTCAGCCAACCGAACCCCCTCCTTCAGCCGACCGATGACCTGTATAATAAAAATACCGAGAGCTTTTTTCTTCACCATCGTTTTGGCCGACTGATCCTGCCTTGTTAGTCGACCGATCCTGCCTCATCAGCCGGCCGACCATGGGTTATCAGCCGACTGACAGCCCCTCCTTGACCTGTATTGTTTGGACCTCCTTGTAAACTTGAGACTTGGGACATTTTTGGACCTTGGATTGCCTTGTATGATGGTTAAGGACTTAAGAAATTGATGGTGTGACTTTGTTGACCTCGAGTTTGAGCAAAGACTCGGGTAACGGTTCGGATCCACGGATTCGGGTCGTTACAGTACCCAAGGGACTTGTGTAAATTAAGTTTGTCAACAGATTTCTTAAATTCTAAATTAACTTGAAAGTAGGATGATTGAATTGTGATGATTAATTCTAAATTAACTAAGTAGAAAAATAAAATAAACTAAAGACAACGATTAAATAGGAAGTAGAAATAAGAGAGAGAGGACTAGGGGTATGATTTTACCACTAATGTCGCACCACCAGTTAATTGTATCAATTTATTGGAGATATATCATATAACATGCATAGGGAATTAATCATGGCTACAAGCACATATTAATTTAGCTAGAAAGTAATATAATTTAAAGCCAAGCATAGACTATCTTTTATTGATATAAATCATCTACCTAACTACTTTACTCTAGGGTGTAGCATGGTCTATCTTTTCTAAGCATAATCCATTAAATCTCTAACATTATATTCAGAAAAAAACCATTGTGTAATCATCTCATTCACAACTACAAGAAGTGAATGAGTTGTGTTCAATCACAAGATTAAAATATCTAAAACAAGATAAAAAAAAATATTTGTAATTGAATTAAAACTCTAAAACCGATTCTTATTGAAAATTTAATTAAAAACCCTATAGATTACACAATCATGCATGACAAAAATTGTTTCTCCAATAATTAAATACAATCAAACCAGTGTGCTAAGCTAGGGCTACATCACAACCTTAGCAAAGCGTTTAGCCAAGCATGACTGGAGGGGAATTCTTCATGGTTAAGGAAGACATCTTCACCGCCATGGATCGATCTCTTATTTCTTCTGAATGCTCCTCCTTTGATCTCAGCCTTGCTCCTCTGTATGATGATTTAATGTTTTAGAGTACTCCCTTTAAATAATAAAAGATTAGCCCTAAAGTTTCCTTTTTTTTATATCGAAGACATACATAGAAATTCTGTCAAATAAGGACTCCCGAAATTCGTACAGACTTCCAGGCCAATTTTGACAAGGTAAAAATTTGTTTTAGGGAATCCTCGAGGAGAGAGATACAGCCAGATTACCAAAACGGGTTCAAGTTACCAATTTTGACGAAATTTTCCTTTTTGGAGAAGGAATTTTCCATTTCTTCTTCTTTCCATTCTCATCAACTTGTGGCTTCTTTTGGACTATTTTCTAAGTATAATTAGACTTGGATCTTCAACATTGCTCGGTCCCACGGAATGTTATTTTTTAAAGCTCAGAATCACTGGTGTTGACTGATTTTATAATTAAAATCCTGAAATAAATAAAAATAATAAAACAATGTAAAATCACAAATAAATTAATATTAAGAGAATAAAACATACAAGTAAAGGGGCTAAAATGTATAACATTCAGTGCCTAACATGAAGCCTGGTGTTCTCTTATGGTGAGCATTTAGACATGTAGGTTTACACATATCTAATATTAACATGTAAAAACGTTGTAGAAAATGACATTAAAGTTGCATCTGAATTCTTTATTTTCCCTATTTCTTTCATTTTTATTCTTTTTTATTTTCTTTTTCTCAAAACATATATAAACAGGGCAGACCAATAGAGTAGTACTGAAAACAATGAGGAGAGGATAAGAAACAAACAGCTAGAATAATATTATTGATTGTTCACTCATGAGAGAGAGAGAGCATTTACCCTTTCTTACTAGGAGTATTCTTTTGATACTATGCTCTTCACCAATGTTTTATTATTCCACCCAAGTTAATTTCCTATATGAGAACCTGAATTGATAAATAAAAAGAAAAGATAATGAGCAAGTAATCAAGGAAAGGAAAGCCACAATGATGGAGTGCTCTGAGCACTGGAAAAAACATGGTACTGCATACAATCTGTAGAACAAAAAGGGGAACCAAGCCAGGCTCAATGGAAATCTTCATCATAATCATCAGAATCTTCATCACAATCTTTATCATAATTATCAAAATCAAAATCAGAATCATCAGAAAGAATATCTGTGTTTGGCAGATGCGGTACTTTTTCCAGTGATGAGCACCCCCTGATGTCCAGTTCCTCCAAGGCTTTCAAAGCCTCAAGACCCTCAATCTCACGTAAGCTCATGCAATCAGGGAGCAGTAAGTGTCTCAACAATTTCAAGTTTGATAGATTTGGCATTCTTACCAAGGATGAGCAATACGACAAATTCAAATATTCCAATGATACCAATAAATGTAGTCCTTCAATCTTATTGAGATTCCAGCATTCAAAAACTTCAAAAAAATCTAACTTGTTTAAGTTGAACCGATCTGGTTTATTTTTAGGGTGTTTATACCCACTCATCTCTAAGGATGCTAGAGGTGCCAAACATTCGAGCAGATCAAGTTCAAGTATTTTAGAGCACCAACTCATACAAAAACTTGCCAGCGATACTAGATTTCCAAGTCCTTGAATCTCTGTCAGCTCATCACACTGAGATATTGTCAAATTTTCTAGCAATTCTAGATTTCCAAGTCCTTCAATCTCTGTCAGAAAATTACATTTTTTTATTCTCAAACTCGTCAATGATTGTAGTTTCCCAAGCCCTTTAATCTTTGTCAGCTTACGGCACTCATAAAGTTGCAATTCCGACAAGAGCTTCAAATTTGACAGTTCTGGTAGTATTTCCAATGACAGACCACCATCAATATATAATCCAACCAGATTGGGAGGTAAACCCAATATACATTGAAGTTTACAGCCTCCCAAATAAACATACAGAAATTGTAAACTTGAAGGAAGCTCCAGCGGTGCTTCGAGACCGTAACAGCCTCCCAAGTCAAGGGTATGAATGCTTGTTGGTAGGCTTTGAATTCCTGCAGAATAAAAGCTGCTTAAGTATATCAAACATCATAATCTCCCAATGCAACTTGGAATGTTACCTCTCAATCTAGAATATTTTGCAACTATAATTTCCAGCTTCTTTAACATCCTAATTTCATCAGGTAGCTCCCGTATTTCAGTGTGTGAAATGTCAAGCACTTTTAAGTTACTTGCCATCTGTTTACAAGATCCATGAAAATTATATAGAAACAATCATACATATGCGAGAAATGAATTGAGATTATGAGAGTAAAGATTTTAAAATGTATGTAGTATATACCTTAATTTGACCCCAACCCTTCCAGTTCTCTGGGATCCTACTACCGCTTAGATCAAGTATGACTAGTTTCTTCATTTGAAAATTGGTTGCTTCAAAATGCAGAGGGGAATCTTGCCAACAAAGCCATCTTAAGTTTAACAAGCGATGCTTGAAATCCCCGACAACAACTTCAGCTTCATTTATTTGGAGATATCGCAGTTTAGATCATTCAGCGAATTTGTCATGCTCACACATCTTTCCAACAACATCAAGATTTAGGAGTTGTACCTTTTCAGTTATCTGTCCGTGAAAAAACCATAAAAATAAGTAAACAAGTAAAAGAAACCATTTGCCACGTGCTAAAAAAGGAATTATTAATATTATATATTAATTATTATTCTTATATATATATTTTTTTAAATACCCATTTTTAATGACTTCTTAATAATAACAGTTATTGGTGTTTACAAATAATTTTTGCTTTTATATATAAAAAAAAAATTTAAAAATAAAGCAACTAAAGTTTAGTTATTTTAATCTCCAAAAAAAAAATTTAAAAAAAAGGTCATTTTTTCAAGTTAAGATTGGGTTAGATTCAGGTTGGTTGATTCAAACATTCATAACTCCTTTTTTGTTTTTCTTCTTCTTCATTTTTTATTTATACAACAACTCTAAATAACTTGAAATAATTGAAAGATCATGATAACATTGTAGCCTACAACTTAATTACAAACGCTACACCAATCTAAATGTACAACATGCCTACTTTCCGCTGTAACCAGGTGTACTAGTAACAATAACATCGAAAATTCTTTTCTTAACGAGATGAGTTAAAAATTTTGATTTTTTTAATATTAGGTAAATACTCACCTCACAACTCTAAATAACTTAAATTGAGTTCCATTTTTAATTTAAATCCAAGCTGACAGTTGTCCACGCCCATCATAGATGATGCTGGCAAATTAGCTCCCTAATTGGAACCTATGTGGATGCTACCATGGATATTATTTATAGCTTAAGAAAACATTAATCAATGCAAAAAATTTAGTGCTGTAAATTTTTACCATGCATTCCTCAAATACAGCCGAGGCTTCTTGTCGATCCCACAACGTGCTGCGCAGTTCTGGATTCTCGAAATCTTCTTGACGGACGATTTCTCTACCAAGATCTCTTAGTTGATCATGCATTCTCAATGCTTTATCATTTTCAAGTTTTATTAGAGACATGAGACAAAGGACATTAATTTCTGTCTTTGCATCCCACATGTAAAATGGATATGTTTTATCCATCCCAATAAAAAGACATGCAATATCAAGAAATATCTGTTTTTGCTCATGGGTTAATACAATCATAACTTACTCTCAATTTTTCCTGAACTTCATGATTTGGTATTTTCTTCAACTTCTTCGATGTATCCTCCCATACTGTTTTTGGCTTGTCAGATAGAAATGAACCTATAACCTCAAGAGCTAGAGGAAGCCCTGCAGTAACTGATACCACCGCTCTAGAGATACTATCAAAGTCCAATGGAGGAAACTTTTTCCGAAAAGCATGAATGCTAAGAAGTTGAAGAGATTGGTCTCGGTTCATAAATGGAGGTTCGTAAGTCTCATCCACTTCACGAATATTTAAAACATGCTTGTTTCTAGTTGTAACTATGATCCTAGTTCCTGGACCAAACCAATCACAATTTCCCACAAGCCAATCGAATTGAGACTTTTCATCCACATCGTCAAGAACAATGAAAACTTTCTTTTTGAGAAATCGACCTTTGATAGAAAATGATAGCGTCGATTCCACCGTTAACATTAGTAATGGGAGGGTGCGGTTTAAGAGTGTCATTGAGAAGCTGGTTCTGCAAATCAACAATACCTTTATCTTTGTATTGTTTGACATTTTCCCGAACATCTGCAAGGAAGCTACAACAATTTTTAAAGTCGTGGAGGAGCTTGTTGTAGATGGACTTGGCAATAGTTGTCTTGCCTATACCACCCATGCCAAGGATACCAACAATCCTTACATCATTTGAACCAACATTTAATAATCTCATCATTTCATTCAGATGATCATCCATCATAACTAAGTTGTCAAATGTAACCATGCATTTTTTCTTCAGGTTCAACGACACTGTTTGAACAATCGTTTTTGCTAATTCCCCTTGATGCCTGATTAATGTCATGATGAAAATGAAAAATAATTAGTGACCGAGACGTAAACGAGCAGCTAAAATAATGATTGATGTGTTCTACCTTAGGGACGAGTAGTTGACTCATGAAACCAACATTTATCATGTTGTTTTTCTTCTTAGTATAATTTTGTGTTTGTCCCTCTAATTTGATAGTATTAAAATGCTTGATCATTTATTGGATTCCAATGCTATTATAAAGTTCCTATATATATAGATATAGATATAGATATGCAAAGAATTTAACATAAGGAAGGGATTAACATACCCAGCAGCTTCTTTGTTGACTTCCCAACCCTTGAGTTCTCCAACCTGTTTGAGTGCCTCCTTCCATTTCATAACAGTGCATTCATCAAAACAGCTCTCGTGCTTGCGAAAGGCTTCCTCTTAACTCCCAGATTGATGCCTCACATCCGATGGTTCAACATCATAGAAGATTGGCAGAATCGATTGTCCAGTGCTTCTATTGCAATCCACCATCATAGTTCTTGGAGAAGATGGGGATGGAGATACTGGAATCCCTGATTGCTTCGAGGAGCTCAGGGCCGATCTCTTCTCCTTTGCGAAGCTCATTGTCATCCCGAAAGGTGCGAACACCTGCGTCAATGAGATAGGTATATAGAATATCTGTGAATGTGCGGCGAGTGTCTGGACCTCTAAAACTCAAAAACACTTCGTATTCGCCTCCTGGAACAGGTACGGAGGTGGCTGAAGCATCAGACTCCATTTCAGATATAATCCTCCTCCTCTTACTTGGACCAGCGGCCTCACTATCCATTTCAGATATAATCTCCTGTGTCTTTTCTGCTCGATCGATCAGAAACACAATAGTGTGGAAGATAAATCTTGTACGAGTATTACCAATCCCCTATATACCAAACTCAAATCTCTCAAACTCACTTCAGTGTTTGGCCTTTGGATCTGCAAATTGAGGCATTCAAACACCCAATTTATATTTGCAAATCTCTCTCGATCGATCGATAATGTTTGGGTAATGGATCTGCAAATTCTCTATCTGGAATTGGAAAATGATAGGCTCAACACAACCCATACACGCAAATTAACTTTCCCAGTCAAGTCAACAGGACAATATATATTTCGGCTAAAGAGGCAGCTTTTTCCAAGCACTCACACACAGAAATTTCCAACATACTTCATAGAAATTTCCTCATCAAGAAATTTCCAACTTCATAGAAATTTCCTAACTATTTCAAGATACAATGTACCTCATAAGTCATACTTATTGTCAACGTATTCAAAATCTAAGAAAAATTACATACATATAAAAGTAATAATGTTGGACTCAAATTACAAACCACTGGCGTCAGCAGAACCCATATTACAAAAACATGGACTTTAGTTTCAGAAAATTGTAACCAGGCCCAACTTCAAATAAATTTGTCATTCAGAAAAGAAATACCAAATGAATAACTTGTGTCTAACGTACTCCTAACCATTAGAATACGGTAAAATAAACACAATAATTTTAATTAGTTTATGCAGTAAGTTAAATCAATTATAAATTAAAACAAATTTAAAATATATAAAACATCCCAACCAATTTATATTATTTAATAAATTGAATAATTAAAATGCAGACCATCTTTATTAATATCAAACATTGGAGACTCTACTCTACGTACACCAAAGTGCATGTTTAATAGTCTACTAATAAAATCAAACCACAAACTTATTCTCTAAGTACTAATAAAATTAAACATTTAATTACAAGTTTCACTGCCAAACCCATCTACAATAATTACATCTAATGCAAAAGACTTTCTCTTGCTTATTTCCTTATCCAAAACTCAAAACTCTATACCCAGCCAGTGGCCAAATCAGCATAATATATATATATATATATGTGTGTGTGTGTGTGTGTGACTGACAATTTCAGTTTAATTTCTTTAATATCATCTTCAAGCTTTGTAAGTATTATATTCCCACTTTCTTTCTTGATCAGGTATATACCTTCTATAATTTCATGATGAGGTACCTTAGTGCTTTATAAGCATTTTCATGTCAATTAGACGTAGCCTTGTAGGTATCTTTATGTCATATATACATCTTCTATACTTCAATATATACATTTAAGTATAAAATTTCTAATGAATACACTTACCTGGGATATTTTCTAAGTTTATTTATCCTTGCGTATACAATATTATAATCACATCATATATTTAATTTTCAAAGAGAATTAAACAATAATAATTGTTAAATTCGCTACAGATTGACATGTGACATTTAAAATCTATGTACTGCTTGTGTTAAACCACGTCAACTAACTTAAAAAAAGTTTGAAAATTTTACCGTTTTGAGATAAGAAAAAGTTAAAAATTGTATTGTTTTGAATTAAGAAAAATTCATCATACTCTAACGTTTAACGTTGTTATCTCTCCCTCATCTTTTCTAAAAAAATATCCTCCCTCCTCTTCGGATGATCTCTACTTCTCTTTTAACCTCACGTTCTCTCTCATCTTTTCTATAGGGCTTTTAGTAATATTTTCCTAACTTCATCAATATCCATACTTATATATATATCATTTTCCAATCATTACTATTACAGTAAAAATTGTATGTCTTGCAATTCTTAAATGAACGGACAAAGAATCAGTTATTAATTAAACCTCTATTTGAGGTTTGTTTATGCACAAGTGGTCGCGCTTTGATTGGGAATAGGAAAGTGATTTCCAGCTTCGTTAAGGGATGAGCATTGACCCAGCATCACCTATTATAATCAAATCAATGCATTAGCCGGCAAATAATTGTCCTAAACAAATTCATAAATGAATAGACTTGAGGACCCACCATGATGAACAAAACCATATACTGTAGAGACAGTGACTTTAAGAATAGCTTCAAAATGATATTCTGTTGCTACTATTATTTAGATGTTATATAAAATAATAATGGTTTATGTGTGAATTCATGGATGAATAAAAAATTTAATCATGTCAATATTAAATGTTAACTTAGTTGTCCATGAAATTGAAATTGGAATTGAAATTGAGGTGTGAATTTGTTTATTCACAAGTTGCCGCGCATTGATGGGTAATAGGAAAGTGATTTGCAGCTTCATTATGGGATGAGCATTGACCCAGCATCACCTACTCTACCAGAAAGTAAAATTAAATCAATGTATTAGCCACTAAATAATTGTTCTAAATAAAGTCACATGTGAATACATTTGAGGATGAGGTGTGGTGGCCTCACCCTATTGATCATAGACTGATAAAAACAAGAAATAAATAAATAATACGGAGAGAACCATTTCTATATAAATAACTACCTTAAGAAGACAAAACACCTTATTTTTATATAAAGGTATTTCACTTTTCACTTTTCACTTTTATTTTTTTTTTTCCATCATTTGGTGAGAAGTGCTTATCACCATTTTTGCCTATTAACCCAAATCTATATAATTAATTAAAACGTAATCTATTATGGATGGAAGAATAAATGATTAAAGAATCTTCGATATTAATCAACAGGGAAATAATATTTAATTTTTAATTACTGTTTATTATGGTATTTGAGAAACTCTAACATTTACGATGAATTACTGAACTTCTTTAGTAATTTCTATAAATTCTCCAAATAACACTCGTTTAACACTTTCAATTCACTTCACTTCTCTACCTTTTAACTCATTTATATTTGGTCCCCAACAATCATCAGACAAACCAATACAAAATAAAAGTTGAAAGTAAAATTAAGCGGATTTTATTGAAGCCACTATTTAAAGAAATAAATCAAAAGTGACTTTTGATTTCATAAATAATTGAACAGCTGAATACGTGTGTTTGACAGATGCAGTCGTTCTTCTAGTGGTATGTATGTACCCTATCACATTCAGTAACTCTATTATTTTCAATTTTACGAAATTTTCATGCAATTAACAAGTTTGTCAGATTGGGTAATTTTATCAAGCCTATGCAATATTTCAATGATTCCAATTTGTTTAAAGCTTTATCGAGTTCAGGACAACAAGTTACAACTATCTTTTTGACTTTTTCAAGTCTGTTTGACAGATATGTTTTTGTCAAAGGTATTTGGACTCACTCATCTCCTAAAGATGCAAATTGAGGCCAAATTTATTTTGTAATAAATAATTTTTATTTTATTTTATTTTTATTTATTTATTTATTTTGCAACATACACAATTTCATAACCAATAGTCTCCATTTCTCTATAATTGTCTTTGTAGCTAAACCTGTTATTTATTGGTACAAACATTTTTTTTTTAGTTCTTTTGTGGTAAAAACTAAAGTAAACCTCTAATATTCATCCCAATGGGTTTTTTAGTGTCATAACCGGGGGTGGGCTCTAGGAAATTACATTTCTGGAGGCAAAAAATGATAAACAGTAGAGAGAGGAGGAATACATGCACTCTGATTCTTTGCATTACTTAATTTACAATGGGTTTTTTAGTTTGTATATTAGTAGTATATAATGCGTGTGTATATATATATATATATATATTACTAATACATAATGGGTGTTTAGTTTTTTCTAATATATCTTTATAGTTTGTATATTAGTACTACATAATGGGCCTTTACTAATACACACAAACTTGGCCCACTTAGATTTTTTTATTTTATCAATGTCTAGTAAAAAAAAATTAGTAAAGGCCCACTATGTGTTAGTACTAGATTTTTTCTTGATCCGAGAAAAACGTTATTAAGGTGGGTGTATGGTGGTGCACTATACTCACAATAGTGGTGGGATTAGAAATTTTTTATTGAGCATGGTGTCTTTACACTTAATATTCTAAAACTATCTGGTTGGGAGTCATTAGCATAAAGCTCGCTACATGGTTCATCTAGAAAGCTTAATGGACTTAAACATTGCACAGCTTGTCATTTGTTTTGAAAAAAGAAAAAAATGAATGATGAAAAATTCGCATGCATAAGTGTAGTCATGAATTCATGCTTTGGGTACTTTAACTTGGAAGGAAATATTAATGAATTGAAGTTATTGTGATGAGTAATATAAGGATAAAAGAGTAAAACACATAATTGGATGCTAATTCACTTCAACAGGAAGCTAGGGATTGATTGCTATTAGGAATATGTTAAATTGAACTTTGTGTGGGGACCGTAATATTAGTTCACGTAATTGAAGATTTGGGATTGCTTGGGAATATTAATCTTTCTTATACTTGACATGATAGCTAACTTGATGATAATGTGTATGCAATCGTTTCTAATTCCATGGAAGTAATTGAGCTAGATGCAATATTTGCACAATTTTTGATGTTTGTGGGTATCATCTCTGGAAACCCTCACGAGGCTATAGCTCGTCCATTAGGATAACCTAGGGGTTTAAGATCTTATCGCATATGATAAATGTAATCGAAAGTAGCTTGTGAAAGTGGCACATTTTTAGTTAGGAGTAGATTAAAGTAGCAATTTTGTGAAGCTATCTCTTTTTTTCTTTATTTTGTAGAAGACTAGCAAAAACTTGTTTGGGGTAATTTGATAAGTGCACAAAACTTGCTATTTTATACTCAATAATAAATGATTAATTAATTAATATTTTTTATTAGATAATGTTCTTATCCCTGCTTTTCATATTTTATAAGGGCTGATTTCGAAATGAGAAGAACAGAGACAAAAATAACAAAAACGTGATATTACACGATCAGTCAAAGTCAAATTCAAAATTGACTTTTTCATCAAATCAATAAAGATCAAGCCAAATTTGAAAGCATATCAAGCCAAATTTGAAAGCAACAAGATTTTAATGAAGATTTGATATATTTTATTTGCACTTCTATAATTAGATTTTCCCTTCCCCAATCGTTCCATTCTAAACTCTATAAATAGGGATATATGTAGAAGAGGTGGGAGTTATGAAGTGTTGGAAACGGGGGCATTAAAAACATAAACTTTGGATGAAATTTGGAGTAGATTCCGCTAAGAATTTTTTGCGATCTATAGACGAATGCGTTCCTCTCCGCAAGGAGATGAACATGGTATATTTACTTTCTCAAATCCATTTTCGAGTAAATGAAAATTTAGCTCTAAAGTGAGGTGTTTTGAGCAAAAATTGGGAGTTTATTCTAGTTTTGGTTTGTTAAGAGGACATTATTTAAGCATTCAAGAGACGACCAGGGTTTATGATTGTTTCAGTGGAGAAGATCAGGAAAT